CGAAAACATTTTATGCTATGTATATATATATATATATATATACACATACATACACATGCATACACATGCATACACACACACACACACACACACACACACACATACACAAGTTAATTTTACAATTTAATTTTTACTAAGTAAAGAATTAAGTTAAAAGATTAACATTGAAAATGAAAATATTTTATGCTATGTATATATATACACACATACATACATACACATGCATACACATGCATACACATACACACACACACACACATGCCTACACATACACATACATACAGTTAATATTTTAATGTTTGCTATGAAAGAATGATAAATGTGAATGGTAGGAGAAAAGAAAAAAAAAAAAGATTTGATTCACAAATAGAATTTAAATTTTTGAAAAGGGAAAAAAATAAAAAAAAAAAAAAAAATCAATAAATAATATATTTTTCTTTCTGCAAATATTAACTTTGCATTCAATGATTATTGTTATCAATGAATAAAATTTGAATAGAATGAATGAATAATCAAATATGAATAAATTAATAAACAAATGTTTGTTTACAAAATGAATAAGTAAACAAAATAAATAATACGAATGGATGTTCTCACTTTTTCTTCTATTATCATTGAAATGAATTTTTAGAAATGAAAGTAAAGTAAATATCGATTGAAAATATTTTATTTTTGATTGCAATGTAAAGATTATAACTGAAAATAAAAGTTATATTCTAGATACATTACTAAATAAGTATTACTTACACGTACGAAATAGTCCTACGTAGATGTTTCAAGTAATATTAATGAGTTATAAGTTATAACGTTACGAGAAATACGTAATAGATAAATTAGATGCGAAATGTAAAAATTCGAAGAACTTGGACAAATATAAGTATTACTCGAAATGTAAGTATTACTTACGTACGAAATAGTCCTACGTAGATGTCTCAAGTAATATTAATGAGTTATAAGCTATAACGTTACGAGAAATACGTAATAGATAAATTAGATATGAAACGTAAAAATTCAAAGAAGTTGGATGAAATATAAGTATTACTTACACGTACGAAATAGTCCTACGTAGATGTTTCAATGAGTTATAGCGTTACGAGAAATACGTAATAGATGAATTAAAGGCGAAATGCAAAAATTCGAAGAAATTTGACGAAAGATAGGTATTACTTACGTACGAAATAATCCCACGTTTATGTTCCAAGTAATATTAGTGAGTTATAACGTTACGAGAAATGCGTAATAGATAAATTAGATACGAAATATAAAAATTTGATAGAAATTGGATGAAATATAAGTATTACTTACATACGAAATAATCCCACGTATATGTTCCAAGTAATATTAGTGAGTTATAAATTATAACGTTACGTGAAATACGTAATATTTGAGTAAAATTTTTTGAAGTGGATATGAATTTAATTAAATGTTAATATAAAATTAAATACGAAATTGTAAAAATTCGAAAAAATTTGACGAAAGATAGGTATTACTTACATACGAAATAATCCCACGTATATGTTCCAAGTAATATTAGTGAGTTATAAATTATAACGTTACGTGAAATACGTAATATTTGCGTAACATTTTTGAAATGGATATGAATTTAACAAATGTTAATATAAAATTAAATACGAAATTGTAAAAATTCGAAGAACATTGAACCAAACAAGAAGTGGAATTTCTTTTTGTTGTAAAGAGGTAAAATTTTAACGATGATCATTTGAACCTGTTTCTCTTCTCAATTGAAATTGTCGGCAAACTTTATATAATCGATAGAATTGAAAACAGGAATTTATGCATGTCATTATTGTTTATTAATTACTAATGGTCATTGATTAGATGACCATTTGATAAAATTTTACCTTTCTATCAATTCTTTCATTTTAATTTAATTAATTTTGTAAAATAATTCTATTAATTACTTCGTTCCTTTTTGTTTTTTTTTTTTTTTTCACTGTAAAAAAATAGTTTCTTATTAGAGAGTAAACAAACAAACATTAGAGAGTGGACAGTGAACAGTAAACAATAAACAAAAAAAGTTATTTAAATGTAATCAAATAGAAATGAAACTATAAAGGAAGCTAAAATTGTAAATTCATAAATAATATTTTATTTTCAAAGAAAAAAAAAAAAAAAAAAAGAAAAAGAAATTTTGTATGAAAAAAGAGAAATATTAGAAATGAAATTAACATTTCAATATTAAAATGAATTTATAATTTCAATAAAATATAAAAACTATTTTTGAATATTTATTAGTCTTTCATTTGCTTTAATAAAATGACATTTTATAGAATTGAAAAGTTTTTGCACTTATTAAAACCATTTTAAATCCATTTTAATCAAAATCTATTTTAAATTAATACATTCTTTTGTGAAATGATAAGTTCATTACAGTGGTCAAATTTAATTTTTTATAAAATTAATTCTCTTAAGAAAAAAAAAAAAAAAAAGAAACAATCAGAAATATTAAATTTAATATAAAATAAATTATGCTAATAATTTCAAATGTATTTGGATAAATGTAAACGATCTCAAATATTTATTTGTCAAATGTTTGTCATTTTTTTGACAATTTCATTATATCTTCCTGAGTTTAAAAAAACAAAAAACGAGATAAAAGAACGAGTAGCCTTGACGCTCCCATTAATTTGACGTACCTAATTTGTTAATCTGACGTATTTATTTTGCTAATTCGACGTGTTTATTTTGTTAATCTGGCGTATCTATCTTGTTAATCTGACGTATTTATTTTGTTAGTCTGACGTATCTATTTTGTTAATTTGACGTATCCATCTTGTTAACTTGACGTATCTGTTTTGTTAGTCTGACGTATCCATCTTGTCAATCTGACGTGTCTATCTTGTTAATCTGACGTATTTATTTTGTTAGTCTGACGTATCTATTTTGTTAATTTGACGTATCCATCTTGTCAATCTGACGTGTCTGTTTTGTTAGTCTGACGTACCTATTTTGTCAATCTGACGTATCTATTTTGTTAGTCTGACGTATCTATTTTGTTATTCTGACGTATCTATTTTGCTAATCTGACGTATCCATCTTGTCAATCTGACGTGTCTATTTCGTTAATCTGACGTGCCCATTTTGTTATTCTGACGTATCCATCTTGTTAATCTGACGTATCTATTTTGTTAATTTGACGTTTTATTTTATCATTCTGACGTATCTATTTTATTAAATAGATGCAAATTTATTGAATTTACCATTCTTTCTCATTGATGCAAAACTAGAAAGTGCAAACAATTAAATAATTTCTTTTTTTTTTTTCTTGTCAACAACTTCTTCCATTTCTTTAAATTTCAATCATTTCCATCTTTCTTTCTTCTAATTAAACACAACTAAAACGCCTAATAAATGCAAGAAGAAAAAAAAATTTGTCAAATAATATTAACGTAAGTGAAATCTATAAATATATACGTATATCCAGCATGTCACGTACGAGTACGAAAACGTCATAAAATTTGTTTGAATACTTTATTGAATTTAAATTCTTCTTCGTAAAAAATCAAATTTCAATTATATTTGGAAATTGTAAACAATAAAAATTGAATGAATAAATATTGCTGAATTATAAAAAGATGATGAATCATTCAATAAATGTAGAATAAATTTTCATAAACAGAAAAAAAAGAAAAAAAAAATTAGTAAATTAAATACAATGAAACATTTGTTTACATATTTATATGTGTGTGATTGCAAACAAACTGATCAAATTACTTCACTTAAATTCACAAATACATTATATTGTTGAAATTTGAATTGCAAAACTTGAAATATTGGAAATTGAATTGCCAGAAGTCGATCGATTTTCAAAAGAATTCAAAAGATCAAAAATTTTATTTTCAAATAAATTTGCACACTCGTCTACCTCTCACTGTATGTCGTCATCTATCCATTACTTCTGCTCTGTAACAGTACTATTTCCCATAATTCCTACCGATCTCTCTATTATCCTCTCTTTCTACACTATCTTTTTTTCTCTCTTTTCTTTCGGATACTCATCAATTGCAATGCACTATTTCCATACTCTTTTCCGTCTATTTACATATATATTCTTATTATATCCCTATTAACCTCTCTAAACTATCTTTTTTCTCTCTTTTCTTTCGAATACTCATCAATTGCTATGCACTATTTCCGTACCCTTTTCAGTCTATTTACATATATTATATCCTTACTATCCTCTCTACACTATCTTTTCTCTCTCTTTTCTTTCGAATACTCATCAATTGCTATTTCTACAATCCTTTTACATCTGCTTACACGTATCTAAATATTCCTATTATCCTCTCTTTCTACACTATCTTTTTTCTCTCTTTTCTTTCGGATACTCATCAATTGCTATGAACTATCTCCATACTCTTTTCCGTCTATTTACATACATATTCTTATTATATCCCTATTATCCTCTCTACACTATCTTTTTTCTCTCTTTTCTTTCGGATACTCATCAACTGCTACGCACTATTTCTACAATCCTTTCACATCTACTACACGTATCTAAATATTCTCTCATTCTCTACTTCTACTTAAAATATCACACTGAATACTCTTTCGTCTCTTACTCTCTTATCTGAACAGGTTCAAGCCCAACTTGCTAAAAATGACAAAAAATATTTGAAAATTGGAATTTTGTTATCATCTTGGCTGGTCCTTGTTGAGTCCCCTCTTATTCTCTCCCCTCACGTCTTTTTCACGTTGTCTTCTACTTTTCTTAAGTAATACTACCAGATCCTACGTGTATTTTTTTTTTCACAAATTATTATATTGTTGAAATTTGAAATGCAAAACATGCTTCTTTCTTTAAGGAATACTAAATGTATTTTTTTAAAAATGATATTTTCTCTAAGCAGTACTAAATGCTACGTTTCTCTTGACGTTGAATGAATTTTTACGTGCGTGTCTTTTTATTTAATAGCGATTCTGTTAATTATATAAAAGATTTATTATCTATATGAGTGCACTTTGATATTTTTAGGAGAATGCGATATATTATTAACCGATCTGGCACTGTATCATTATTAACTGCTTCTTTCTTTGCTGGTTGTTTAACTGACAAATATATACTGAAACGAGCTAATGCTGCCACTGCTCAGGTACATTTATATTTTGGATTTTTAAGTTTAATTAAAATGTAACTGTTTGTAAAGAAATTTGGATTGGATTGTTTGATTTTTAATTTCTTTCAAGTTCTTAATTCAACTTTTTATTCGTGTAATTTACTGTAATTTGAATCGTTTGAAATACCATAGGCGTTGGAAATTGGTAATATTTTGAAAGATAACAATGTCACTGATAAATTAGTAAAATAATGTACCCTTGTTTTCTACTTGTTTTGCTAGGTTTGTTTAAAATGTTAATTGAAGCTAACGTTACTAGTGATTTCTTCATTTTTTTTTTTTCTAGTATTTTCCAGCATTAAAATAGCTTTTTTAGTTGCCGGCAACTGCAGTGCAGCCTCACATTTTAACCGGACCCACCTCAACCTTGGATATTGATCATGTAAAAGAGCAACCATCTCGTGCATCCCAAATAATGCGATATGGATATCCCGGTTTTGATAACTTACGTACTTTCGAAGATTATGTTTTATCGTACGACCGTCGAAATAGGTTATTTACATTTGATCTACCAATCCGTGTTTCAAAGTCACTTCAATCACTTTAACGCTTCTGAATAAACATTTAGGTATCGATTTAATTCACTAATACAGTAAATAGGTCTAAAATCCATCTATTGTATTAATTACAGCTACTGTTTAATGTTAGACGTGTTGAATATTGTAGGCATCATTTCGAATATTATTCATATTTTGGAATTTTTATTTAATTTTTCCTTCATATTGTCTAATTTTTGTAGAATTGCTCATTGGGTTGTTGAACATCTAAGTTCAGATAGGCTAGTGTATAATTCATCTGTCGACCGTTCGAAATGTCAATTTCGCGAGGACCCATCCATTCATCCTTATTTCAAATCAACAAATGATGACTATAAGGCATATTTTTGCATTCCAGGCTAGCTTCTTAACTACTTCATTCATTATAGAAAAGTCAAGAGGATAAGCAACCGATCAATTTAAGTGAAATGACCATCTTTATATTTTCATGAAAACGAAAATGTTTTCTTTTTGTTTTTGTTTTTTTTTTTCTTTTCAGTCACGAATTTCATAAGATTTGGTAATTGCAGGGTAGTGGATATGATCGTGGTCATTTAGCTGCAGCTGGCAATCATCGGCGATCACAAACTGCAATCGATCAAACTTTCTTGTTGAGTAATATGGCACCTCAAGTTGGAAAAGGATTTAATAGGGACAAATGGAATGAATTGGAAAAACACGTCAGGTATTGCAGTTTAACCACTTGTTTTGTCTATTTATATTTATTAAAAGAAAATCCACTTTATGCTCATTTCACATATCAAAGTGTCTTCATGTTCAGTAAAGTATAGCGATTATTAACTCGTCAATCTTAATAATGTCATTCATCTTGTTAGTGCTCTTTTATATTTCATAATTCGAAAGTGTTAAATTTAAAGATTTCAAATTTTAGGAAGCTTGCAAGGAAGAACAAAAATGTATACGTTTGTACGGGTCCATTATTTTTGCCGAAATTAGAACAAGATGGCTCTTTGTACATCAAGTATAAAATTGTTGGTCGAAATAATATTGCTGTGCCGACACATTTCTTTAAAGTATTGTAATTTAAAGCTCGTTATTTTGCTAAAAAATTGTTATCTAACATTTGTCATAATTAAATTAAACATGCTTTAGGTTGTACTCGTGGAACTTATGAATGGCAAATTCGAACTAGAAGCATATATTTTGCCAAATTCAGTAAGTTATTTGCGAATAAGTTGTCTAATTAATGAACTTTTGTTGAATCATTTTTATAAGCCTTGAGTCATTTTTATAATTATTTCGTTGAATCATTTTTATAATTATTTCAGGTAATACCTGATGATATACCTTTGACTTCTTTTATGGTACCGTTGGATAGTATTGAGCGTTCTGCTGGATTTCTAATTTTTGATAAATTACCAAAGAATGCTTTAAATAAGATTAATGGAAAATCAGGCAATATGTTATGGTAAAAATTGTTACTGTATTATAATTGTATGATCATGTTTTTTAATTAGTTGGTGATTATTTGACACGAACTTATTGGTATCTCGAAGTGCTAAATGTTAGACTTATTTATTGTTGTTTATCAAGTAGGAACAAATAGGACAACAGTTGTTGTATGTAGCTTATGTGATGATAATAAAGAATAAAGTGATTTTAGATCAATAGGCATGAAGGACTAAAGTAATTTCTGAAATATTAATTAAGTCATTAATACTTCGAATTTTCTCAAGTGATTCATGGTTATAATATTTTCAACTGCTTCGAATAATTTTCATTTAATTAAAATTTTCATAATTTTTTGGTGGATTTTGTTTTTTATCATTTTTAATAGCCTTTTAAGCTTTCATAACTTAGATCATAATGATATATTTACAATAAAACATCAAACACTTTTTAATTTTGCTATTACTGGAGCTGACATGTTATCGAATAAACAAAAATTAACTTGTCAACAGATAACGGCATAATTTTTTTTTTTAAAAAAACAACTTTGCAACTTAATTAATGACTTTATTATTAATTATATCACTTTATACACTAAATAAATATTTCCTCATAAATACATTTTACTTTTTACTAGGTACTCGAATTAAAGAAATATTGATTGATTATTGAGATTAAGATTTATTGGTCAATAGATTTTAAATACGGAGGAATAATTTGTTCTCGCTGTTCAAATTTTATGCTAAATTATTATAAATGTATGGAAGAGCAAATGAGGTTCGTGCAATTTCATGTATTCATTATTCATTTCAAATTGAAATAATATTTCGTTTTAAAAAAATTTTTTTTTTTTAATTTATTTCAATGTATGTTTTAATTTATTTATAATTTTCAAAATATTCTGATATACTTTATTGTTGAACAAATGGAATATAGTAATATCACAAATAATATTCATTTTTATTTTTATTTATATTTACCAAAGAAAACACCATGCTAAGGTAACATTAAGTATACCAACAATAAGTGATAAAAAAGAAAAAACAAAAGCAATACATGATAAATAATAGCTATAGCCAAGGCCAATAATAATCATTGATGGATGTAAGCCACTGTGACCTTCAGTTTGTGAGAAAGTCTCAAGTAAAACTAAATGAAAATTTTTTTGATGAAAAAAATTTATCAACTTCAAAAACTTTTAAATATGCTTAAATTTTAATCAATTCATATGATTGATTGATTGATTGGTTGATGTGTATTTAGTTATCAGATTAAACTTCCCCAATCAATTCTTTTTAAATTCAAATATGCTTAAATGAAATTATTAAATATGCTTAAATGAAATTATTAAATATGCTTAAATGAAATTATTAAATATGCTTAAATTTTAATCAATTCATATGATTGATTGGTTGATTAATGTGTATTAATTTTTTTTTTTATCTTTTTTTAAATTTTTTTCAATTAATTTTTTTAAATTTAAATATGCTTAAATTTGTGTGGTGTGTTTGTTTGTTTGTTTGTTTGTTTGTTTGTTTTAAAGATAAATGAAAATTACTTGAAATTTCAGCATAACGTTCTGCATAAGTAATAACACCATAAAATAATAATATAAATATAGTTGAAGCAAAAATACTAAATGGTGCTGCCATATGTTCATAATGTTCACAGCAAAATTCTCGTGGTAAAAATAAATATAAAATAGCAATTAATTCGATAATCAATGATGATATTAATGTATAAACTACTGTTACATCCCATGCTGCACGATTCTAAAGTTTATTTTAAACAAAAACTCTAAATTCTAAAGTTTATTTTAAACAAAAAAAAAAAACAATTGAAGTAATTAAATAAAATTATTTGCAAATTTAAAAGGTTGAACATTTATCAACGATGCAATAATATATATAGTTTAAAATAATTTAATTTTATAGCATTTCAAAAACTTCCCTAAAATTTTTTTAAACAATTTAATTTTGCAACATTTTAAAAACTTTCCTAAAACTTTTTTAAACAATTTAATTTTGCAACATTTTAAAAACTTTCCTAAAACTTTTTAACAATATCTTGAAAAAATTGAAAAAAAAAACAAAAGAACGAAATAAATATATTTATTTATCAATTTAAGAAAATAGATATAATCAATATTAAATAGTTTAATTAATAATTTTATTAATTAATTTTTACAAAAAGTAATTAAACTAACATCAAAAATGTAATTGCAAAAATCATTATCTGGCCTCTTCTCTTTGCCAATTTTGCCATCGTCTTTTTGTAAATTTCCAAAGCACTGATAACGAAATAGGCCAATAGAAGCTGGTATAGCTGGGCCTTTATTTAATGCTTCAGGCCTTTTTTCAAATGTTCGCCAAGCTGTGAAATATTGTGCTAACTTTTTGTTTTTGTGTGTTCTTTTTTTTTTTTTGATTAGATTTAATAAAAAATTTTGTTTTGTATTATTTTTATTTAAATACTAATCAGTTTAAATTTTAGTTTTAAATTTTAATAAAATTTAAATTTTACCAGGAGTAAGTAAAGAAATGAGAGTAAAAATCATTGTCAACGAGATACAAATACCAAATGCAATACGACCAACACTTGATTCCTTCATCATATCGAAATTACTTACTTACTTACTTACTTACTTTCAGCATATAACTTTTTTATCACAGTTATAAAATGACATAAAGTAATTGAATTTTATTCTTTTATATCTTTTCATTTTCCTCTCTCTCTCTCTCTTTCTCTCTCTCTCTCTCTCCCTTCCTCTCTCTTTATCTTTTTTTCAATTTTTGAAATAACTAATAGCAATTGTAATAGCATTTAATTTTAATTTAAATAATAAAATTTGCATTAAAAATATTTGATGTATCTTATTTGCTGAAAGTAAGTAAGTAAAAAGTAAATAAGTAAGTAAGAAGTAATTTTTTTTTTTAAACTGCGACTTATCATTCAATGATAAAACTACATTTGCTTAATTATCATTAAAGTATTACTAATGAATTTATCTTGCTTAAACAAAGATATGAAAAAAAAAAAAAAAATGAGATCTAAAAATTTTCCAATGTTACAGATATAATCTGAATTTGGATTTGACATCGAAAGAAATGTTTTTTGATTGATAAGAGAATGATAAGAGGATGATAAGAGATGATCAGCAGTGAGATAATACTAGATTTATTAGCATAATTATTGCTTTTGACTATATTTGCTCGCCACAAAAATTATTGAGAATTTTTCAAATTAGATGAAGTGATGTTTTTGATTGATAAGAGAATGATAAAAGAATGATAAGAGGTTGATAAGAGATGATAAAAGGTCATCATTAATGAGATATTACTGAATTTATTGCATTTGACTATATTTGCTCGCCACAGAAATTAGTGAGAATTTTTCAAATTAGATCAAGTGATGTTTTTGATTGATAAGAGAATGATAAGGGGATGATAAGAGATGATAAAAGGTGAACATTGATGAGATATCCACTGAATTTATTGCATTTGACTATATTTGCCAAAAATTAGTGAGAATTTTTCAACTTAGATCAAGTGATGTTTTTGATTGATAAGAGAATGATAAGAGGATGATAAGAGATGATAAAAGGTCATCATTAATGAGATATCCACTGAATTTATTGCTTTTGACTATATTTGCTCGCCACAGAAATTAATGAGAATTTTTCAACTTAGATCAAGTGATGTTTTTGATTGATAAGAGAATGATAAAAGGATGATAAGAGATGATAAAAAGTGGTCATTAATGAGATATCCACTGAATTTATTGCTTTTGACTATATTTGCCAAAAATTAGTGAGAATTTTTCAAATTAGATCATAAATAATATTATTTCTACAAATATAAATCAATCAATGACAGCAGTTAAAGGTCAAAAAAAATATGCAAAATAAAATAAATCAAAATGAATTTATGAATGTTAAATGAAAATGAAAAAAAAAAAATCATTGAAATGTAATAAAAAAAATTTTTTTTAAATCATTATTATTATTATCATTATTATTATTATTATCATTATTATTATTAATATTATTATTATTATTATTGTTATTATTATTATCATTGTTATTATTATTATTAACTTCCATCGATATTATTAGCTTCTACTTTTAGTGATTATTAATCGTTATTATTATTGTTATTATTATTAACTATTATTATTATTATTACTAATATTATTATTGTTGTTATTAACCGTTATTATTATTATTATTATTGTTGTCGTTAGCCGTTATTATTGTTATTGTTGCTATTAACCGTTATTATTATTATTGTTTTTATTAGCCGTTATTATTATTATTATTATTATTATTATTATTATTGTTATTATTATTATTATTATTGTTATTGTTATTGTCATAAGCCGTTATTATTATTATTATTGTTGTTATTAACTGTTATTATTATTATTGTTGTTGTTGATAAGAGCAGTAATGAATTCTTTTTATTTGACCGACAATTTTTGTTTTTTTTTTTTTTTTATATTATCTAATGTATTTACTTCAAGGATAACTTTTTGTATGCTAAAAAAAGTTGATAACATAATATATGCTTTGATCAGGTGATAAATTTTATTTACACTCAGATAAATTTTAAAATTTCGAGCTATTTCTTTTTTCTGACTATGGCATTTTTCTTGAATTAACTGCACTGATAGTTTCCTGTAAAAATTATAAAATTTGATTTTTTTTTTTTTAAACTTGAATGTAATAAATTAAATTATTTCTCGCCTAAAATTTCAAAATTTTAGAACTATTACAGAATTGAGCGAAAAAAATATATTTAATTAAAATGCTCATTGGAAAATTTTAATTAAACCTATCAGATAGGATTAGATAATTTATTCTGGCGGCAAGATTAAAAAGCACTTACAGTTTTCGGAATTGCAAGATATTCTGTAATTTGACCGGAAATGTATTTTCATAATATTCATTAGTAAAACTTTTTATATGAAAAAAATTTTTTTTTTAAAAAAATAAAATATTTAGTAATTTAATTAATCTACAAGAAATTATTTATCATATTGATAAATTAATTATTTAAATTTCTTTATTTTGACATTTCATTGTCGCTTCTCGAATTCCGTTTTTAAAATTATTTCTGCCATACGAATGTTTAATTAATTATGCTAATTAAGCTAATTGCTAATTATGCTTGTTTGCATATCTGAAATGTGCTTACCTTCCTGTTCTTTAGCTTCCATTTCCATTTTACCTTTTTTCATTCGTTGTTTTCGATTTGAAATGAAAAGAAGAATTCGAAAAATGATGACAGATGTCACCAGGACACCAATTATAATAATGCAAGCAATTATGGGGACAATAAGAAATTCGTCAACTTGTTGAGTGTCATCTTCATCATATAATTTGACTACAATTTCATCCAATCTTTAAAAAAAAAAAAAACAATTTGTAATGTAAAATTTAAATTTTAAATATTTGTAGAAAAAAATAGTAAAATTTAAATTTTATTATCAAGGTTTTTTTTTTTTGGAAAAACAAAAAAATACTAAAAGGGAATATTGGATTATTGCATTTTGAATATTTTTTCAACAGTAATAAATTTTTTTCAAAATTCATTAAAGTGTAGTTTTTAAAAAAAAATTTCAATTTAAATTTTATAAAATTGTTATATTCAAATAAATTTTTTTTCATTAACAAATTTTATTTTCTTAATAAATCACAGTAATGTAAAATTATTTGCATTAATTAATTATTTGTTTGAAATTTAATTAACGAACAAAAAAAACAATAATGTTTAACTAACTTATCATTTGTTTTCATTGCTTTTATTAATTTTTGAATGAGAATTACTTTTGTTCTGCAAAATTGTGCAATTAGCAAAAACCAGAACTTAATATATTTTTATAAAATTATCCATTTCAAAATTTTAATTTTAACTTTGAAAAATTAATTTGTAATATTTTGTATTTCAAAATAAAATACTATTCAGAGATTTTTAATTGCTTAATAGTACTTCAAAAAAATGTTAAATGTTTTTTTTTTAATGCAACTATTCCAATTTGATAGATTCTTTTATCCTTTTTGTTTTTTTTTTTTTTTTTTTTTAAAAAATTTAAATTAAATTTAATTAATTGATTAATACATGAAATGTGAATGATGAAAGACAACCATACAAAGTGATAAGAATTTTTTTGAAATAAATAGTTAATATTTTAGGCAAATTTTTTTAATCAAAGAAATGAAAAAATGAAAAATTTTGCATGATTTGGAGAAGAAAATTTTTTTTGTTGTTGTTTTATTTATATGTTGTTGTTGTTGTTGTTGTTTATTTTTCATATGTTGTTGTTGTTTATTTATCATATGTTCTTTTTGTTGTTGTTGTTTACTTATCATATGTTCTTTTTGTTGTTGTTGTTTATTTATCATATGTTCTTTTTGTTGTTGTTGTTTACTTATCATATGTTCTTTTTGTTGTTGTTGTTTATTTATCATATGTTCTTTTTGTTGTTGTTGTTTATTTATCATATGTTCTTTTTGTTGTTGTTGTTTACTTATCATATGTTCTTTTTGTTGTTGTTGTTTATTTATCATATGTTCTTTTTGTTGTTGTTGTTTATTTATCATATGTTCTTTTTGTTGTTGTTGTTTATTTATCATATGTTCTTTTTGTTGTTGCTGTTTATTTATCATATGTTCTTTTTGTTGTTGTTGTTTATTTATCATATGTTCTTTTTGTTGTTGTTGTTTCTTATCATATGTTCCTTTTGTTGTTGTTGTTTATTTATCATATGTTCTTTTTGTTGTTGTTGTTTATTTATCATACGTTCTTTTTGTTGTTGTTGTTTATTTATCATATGTTCTTTTTGTTGTTGTTTATTTATCATATGTTGTTGTTTTATTTATTTTATCATCCTTAAAAATCACAGTTCACTTCATTTTAATTGAATATTGCTTATCTTTTTTAAATTTTCTTCTTGATCAATTTCTTTCTCTTCGTTGCATTCAGCATTGACTTAAAAAAAAAGCTTTACTTTATTCCCATCAAATTATTTGTTGTCTGATAAAGTGATAACGGCCAAGTTCATCAAATTGTTTATTGCCTGATAAAGTGATAATATCCAAGTTAACCAAATTGTTTATTGTCTGATAAAGTGATAACATTCAAGTTAACGTATCACTTTTAATCATTTATATTTATAAAATTCATCAACTAATCATCTTTTTCGTCCGATAAAGTGATAACGGCTAAATTGACCAAACTTTTTATTGTCTGATAAAGTAATAAGAGCTAAGTTAACATATCACTTTCAATCATTTGTGTTTATAAAATTCATCAACTACTCATCTTTTTTGTCTGATAAGATGATAACGGCTAAGTTATCTAACCTGCCTGTTGCCTAATAAAGTGATAACAGCTAAGTTAACCAAATTGTTTGTCGCCTGATGAAGTGATAACATCTAAGTTAACTAAATTATTTGTCGCCTAATAAAGTGATAACAACTAGCCAACCAAATTGTTTATTGTCTGATAAAGTGATAAGAGCTAAGTTAACATAATCACTTTTAATCATTTATATTTATTAAAATTCATCAACTACCCCATCTTCTTTTGTGTAATAAATGCTCGAACATTATTTTAGTCACAAATAATTGTTGTTGCATTTTCTTTTATTTTAAATTTTGCAATCAAATTTTGATTGAAGAGCAGAAATTATCTTTTGCAAGAAATACCTCACAGGTACGAATATTAAAATTAATATAATTGTATAAGAAAGTATGATGCTGTCAAATACTGTCAAATGTATGGTTACTTCTAGAAAATGTCACCAAATTACTAATTATGAATTTCATTAGCAAATCATATGAGTTAATCATTAAGTAATATCTTCTTTTTTTTTATACTGATTATAATCCTAGGATTAAAATTTCTTACTTTCAATGATAACAAATTAATTACTTTAATTTCAATCGAATATTTTAGTGCTTCAAATTTATTTTCAAATTTTGCCAAATAATTTTTTTTTGTTTTTTTTAGTGATAAAAAAAATTTTTTTATTTTTATTCATTTGTTTGATTTAAAAAATTCAAGAATTGTTTATCAACAATTCAACACAAATATATAAAAAATGGATGTAAATAATATTTTGCATTTTTATAATTTTTCATAAAAAATGAAATTTTGTTTTTTTTTTTTTTTTTTTTTTTTCAAATTTGACAATAAAAAATTTTAAAATCATTGAATTGAAAAAAGTATTTGTAATAAGCAATAAAAAATAGCAAAAAATAAATTAAAATTGCAAAAAATAAGAGAGAGAGAGAGAGGGATAGAGAGTGAAAGAGGGAGGGACAGAGAAGGAGAGAGAGAGAGAGAGAGAGAATTATGATAAATAGAAATTTGCAATTAGACGTGAAATTTGTGGCCATTTCCAGTATAAAGCAGTGCCGAAATTAAGAATCCAATGTATGAATAAGGCGACGCAACCAAAATAAAAGCCACTTCCGACACTTACGTCAACGTTACGTGTACACCTGGTTGATATTTGATCATTTGCTAATTGCTTCACAACGTGATTTATTTTATCTGCAAAAAAAATGTTGATTAAATGTTTGTTTGTTTATTTTTCTAAACAAATAAAAATTTCATTCTTTTAAAATTAATTAATAAAATTTTAAAAAAAAAAAAAATTCTAATATATGTTAGGACAAAAAAATAATTTTAAGAAAACATTCTTTTCTTTGAATTTTAATTATAAACAATATTTTCAATTTTTTATTATCAAATTTTCAAAAAAGAAGGAAAACATTTAGATTAATTTTAATTTTATCATATTAACCGAAATAATATTTTTTTTTTTTAAACTGAATTTTTAAATTTTAATTACAAACAATATTTTCAAATTTTTATTATTAAATTTCAATAAAAAGAAAATATCTAAAATAAAAGGAAAACATTTAGATTAATTTTAATTTTTACCATTTTAACCGAAATAATATTTTTTCAAACTAAAATTTTTAATTTAAACTATTTTTTAAACTTTAAACCAATTCTTTTTTTTTTTTTTTTAAATTTAAACCTTTTGAATTTTAATTACAAATAACATTTTCAAATTTTTATTATCAAATTTCATTTTAAACTAAATTTTTGAATTTTAATTACAAACAATATTTTCAAATTTTTATTATTAAATTTCAATGAAAAGAAAATATTTAAAATAAAAAGGAAAAAATTTAGATTAATTTTAATTTTATCATATTAACTGAAATAATTTTTTTTTTTTTCTAAACTAAATTTTTGAATTTTAATTACAAACAACATTTTCAAATTTTTATTATTCTTAAATTTTCAAAAAAAAAAAAAAAAAGAAAAACATTTAGATTAATTTTAATTTTTTTTTTTTTTTTCATACTAACCAAGAGCTTCCTTATTTTGATAAGCATATAAAGCAATAGCAGTGGTTAAAAAAAATGCTAAAATCAAATTTAATTGTAATAACGATGCGACAGGTGACATTTTGCACATAAGTTGAAGATCATAATCAATTAGTGCTATTATTAAAGCCACAAAATCAAGAAGGCTTATAAAAATAATTAAAACCATAACAATAGTATCCGATATTGGCTTTTCCTAAAAAAAAAAACAAAAAAAAAACAAACAAACAAACAAACAATTATTTTAAAATGAAAAATTTTTCATTAATTAAAATTTAAACAAACAAATGCTTTCACATAAATTTAAAATAATCAAAATTTAGCAAAAAAAAAAAAAAACTTTTTTTTAATATTTATAAAAAAAAAAATTTGATAATAAAATAAACACTTACCGAATACCATAAGGAACAAAATTGATTTGTATTATTCAATTGTTTAAATGATGAATTATAAATATTTTGTGAAATTGAATGATTTTCAATTAAATCCATTTCCATACTCCAATTTGAATTTATCATATCATTTTCAGCTGATAATGTTATCTCATTTGAATCATTCTTATCACCATCATCACCATCATCATCATTATCATTATCATTATCATCATTTGAACAACGATTTCTTAAAATACCCATTCGTCGTGGCATCACTAATTTTGGTTCATTTAAAAATTTTGCGACATTTATGGTGACATTAGCCATTTCCATTGCTACACTCTCTTTTATCGTCTCATTATCATATGGATTTATCAAATAATAACTATCAGAAAATATCAGATCACGCCAATCTAAAATTTTTGAAAAAATTAAAAAAGTAATTTTTTGAAATTTCACCATGCTATATTATTGTAAATAGTATCGAACTTTATAGTTTTGAAGGTAAATTTTAAAAAACTTTACTAAATGTAAATTATTTTAGAGTAATTTATAATTCGATTTAACTATTTTACTATCAACAACCATCAAACGATGAGTGTTAATCTAAATAATTTAATAAACTTTTTTATTAATTTATTAAGGTGCAAAAACTTTATATTAAATATCTCTCAGATTGTTTGTGATAAAGTAAAATTATGAATCTAATTTTTATTAATTTTGATAAAAAAATGTAAATAAACGAACAAATAAACAAACAAACAAGCAAGCAAGCAAACAAACAAACAAACAAATAAACTTCGTCTAAATAAAACATAAATAATAACGATGATGATTAATAATAAAGTTGTTGTATATGGCACCTAAATAATTTAATAAACTTTTTTATTAATTTATTAAATCACAAAAACTTTATATTAAATATCTTTCAGATTGTTTGTGATAAGGTAAAATTATAAATCCAATTTTTAATTTTGACAAAAAAAGTAAACAAACAAACAAATAAACAAACTTGGACTAAATAGAGCATAATTAATGACGATAATAATTAATAATAAAGTTGCTGTATATGCAATTCGAAATTGACGCATTCTACGATGATGAAAATCATCCATCATCTTACCTGAAATAGGTAAAATAGTAAACAAATTATGCTATAAAAACTTTTAAAATAATTTATCAAAATTATATTTTTAATTTAAATTATTAACAACAATTATTTATAGAAATTTTTAGTGAAAAAATGACAAAATTGTATTAAAAAAAAATAATAATAATTTTTATAAAAATAATAATTTAAATTATTGCAATAATTAATCCTTTAAAGTAAAAAAGATGAAAAAAAGTTTTAAAATTTGATCAAAGATAAATGATTGATTTATTTGATATTTAAATTTATTATAGAATATAATATGATTAATTAAATAATTTATTTGACATTATTTTATTGTTGAACTATTAAAACTCATAAATTGTTAATGAATTTATTCACAATTAGCTTTGAATAGTTAAAAAATTAATTAATTTTTTGTGCCCAAAAATTAATGCCCAAAAACCAATGCCCAAAAATTCTAACAGTTAAAAAATTAATTAATTTTACGAATTATTAATACCCAAAAATTCTAATAGTTAGAAAATTAATTAATTTCAGGAATAGCTATTACCCAGAAATTCTAACAATTAAAAAATTAATTAATTTCACAAATAATTAATACCCAAAAATTCTAACAGTTAAAAAATTAATTAATTTCAGAAAAAACTAATGCCCAAAAATTTTAATTTTTATACGAAAACAATAAGATGGCTTAAAAAAAATAAAACCTATCGTTAAGTCATTAATGATTAAAATGATCAAATGATTTCGATTCATTACTTTTGACTCCAACAGATCAAAGTTTTTTTTTTCTGGAACATACAGGAATGCTTAGTATTGTCGGGGATTTCCTTGGGTATTACTACTATCGAGAATTTTCTCGGGAATTACTGTTATCGAGAATTTTTTCGTTACTACTATTAACGGGAATTTTCTCGGAGATTGCTATTATTAGGAATTTTCTCGGAGACTGCTATTATCAGGGATTTTCTCGGTTACTACTACTATCCGGGATTTTCTCGAGGATTGCTATTATCGAGAATTTTCTCGGGGATTGCTATTATCAAGGATTTTCTCAAGAATCACTATTACCGGGATTTTCTCGGGGATTACTATTAGCCGAGGTTTTCGCAAGAATTGCTGTTAGCCGAGATTTTCACGACGATTACTATTATCGGGGATTTTCTCAGGGATATTTATATATGATTAATTATTAGAAAAAATTTTTAAATAAAAATTATGTTATCAAGAATTTTTCAAATTTTTTAATTTAACAACATTAAAAATAAAACTTTTTTGGTTCAGTAATGAAAAACGAAAAAAAATAACCTTTCAATATTTTTAAAAAATGACTAAATTCAGTTTGATTTAAGCAAATAATAAATTTGAAAATTAAAAATTGTCAATTTTTTTCTAATTCTATAGGTTTATTTTTATTTATAAATTTTGATAATTGTTTTTTGTTTTTTTGCAATTATTATATTTGTCTGATATTAGCTGGAAATTTTAATGAAAACATAAAGCTCTTTTAGATATTTTAATCATTTTTTGAAAATAGAAGTAGTATTAGATTCATGACCTGAAATTAAAAATTAATTTTGCTCATATGAGAAGATACTAGAAATTTTTTATAATCCCGAGATTTCCCAGTGGAAAATTTTAACTAATATCTTGATACATAAATATTTTGAATGAACGTTGATAAAGTTATTCAACATTTTTTTAAAATAACATTATCATTGATAATAAATTCGAATGGCGTTGTTAGATCAATGCATTTCGCTTTATCAAATTCCTTATCACTAATAACTGATAAAAATCTTTTCTTAACTATCTGATGACAAAATTTTTTTTTTCTGATAAAATATTTTTTTGAATTAAAAAAGACTTTAAAAAAAACCTTTCAAATTTTAATTTAATTTTATGTGTTATATTTTAAAAAAAAGTTATATTAAAAAAAAAGTTTAAAAAGTTAAATTGGATGTGCTGTATTAGCTAATGGTAATGTTGTTTATTAAATAGAAACAATGATAACTGATAAATCTTCAGTTTAAAAATAATAAGAAAGCTGTGAAATTCAAATATTTCATGGAGGAGATTCAAATATCGATTACTGATCAATTCAAATATATCCATTACTGATCAATTCAAATATATCCATTACTGATGAATTCAAATATATCCATTACTGATGAATTCAAATATATCCATTACTGATGAATTCAAATATATCCATTACTGATCAATTCAAATATATCCATTACTGATCAATTCAAATATATCCATTACTGATCAATTCAAATATATCCATTACTGATCAATTCAAATATATCCATTACTGATGAATTCAAATATATCCATTACTGATGAATTCAAATATATCCATTACTGATGAATTCAAATATATCCATTACTGATCAATTCAAATATATCCATTACTGATCAATTCAAACACATCGATTACTGATCAATTCAAATATATCGATTACTGATCAATTCAAATATATCCATTACTGATCAATTCAAACACATCGATTACTGATCAATTCAAATATATCCATTACTGATCAATTCAAACACATCGATCACTGATCAATTCAAATATATCCATTACTGATCAATTCAAATATATCCATTACTGATCAATTCAAACACATCGATTACTGATCAATTCAAATATATCCATTACTGATCAATTCAAATATATCCATTACTGATCAATTCAAATATATCCATTACTGATCAATTCAAATATATCCATTACTGATCAATTCAAACACATCGATTACTGATCAATTCAAATATATCCATTACTGATCAATTCAAATATATCCATTACTGATCAATTCAAATACATCGATTACTGATCAATTCAAATACATCGATTACTGATCAATTCAAATACATCGATTACTGATCAATTCAAATACATCGATTACTGATCAATTTTTTCCATTTGCCAATCATTTCAATGTTATCTTGGTGAGTTCATTCTGCTCAATTAGATAATAAAAGTTTAAATTAAATTCGTAATTAATTATTCGTAATAAAAGTTTAAATTAAATTATTAATTTTGATAATAAATTTTTTTACTGTATCAATCTTTTCTCTGTTTTATCTTCTTTTTAAGCATATCAACTGCAATAGTTCTGTTCCATTAGCACTTTGTGAAATCTCTGAGACTTTTCGGATCGTACTTTTCGGCATATTCAGAATTCATCAATATAGGTCAGCATCAATATCATCTTAGCATCATTTCCAACTTTATATCATAACTTTTTATAATTTTAGTATAGTCAATTTAAACTACGACAATTCCGCTTGCATCATAAAATGGAAAAAAATTGTCGACAAAATTGAATTATAATTTTCAGAAATAAAATTCTATTAAATTCATTGAATTAAGGAATTTATTTTTTGATTATTCCTTGTGACAAATGTACCAATGTCACAGTGTCACCAAATAAAACTTCTTTGCTAACTGTAAATTATATTGAAATTTGATAAGGTCAACAGCAATTTCGTTAGTTGACCTCTGCTACTGTGCTATATTTTATGTTTCTTATAAGTTAATAAATTACTTTATAAAGAGTTATAACTTAATTAAAATTAAATTTTTTCTGCATAGCAATCTGACATTCACTGCTCTTTCATTATTTTCTCGAATTTTCTCATATTGTTCAATAATTATGGCTAACGATAACTTTTATCACAGTAAAATAAACATTGATGTCAAATGTCAAATGTCAAATGTCATCTCTACAATGCAATAACTATTCGATTCTATAATCTATGTAAAATCAAATCTTATTTTACGACAAAATTAATTCAATCATTCCGCCACTTTTTTTTTTCCTTCTTTCTTGCTTTCACATCTTACAAATGTTAGTTTAAAAAATTTTTGTCACTTTTTTTTTTAAAAAAAAAAAAAATTTTCTATATTTTTAATTTTTCTAAAGTTTTATTTGTTTTTCATTTTTTTTGATTTTTTTTTTTTTTTTTCATAAGATATCTAAGCTTAAAGTTTTACTATTAAAAGTAATACAATTCATTCTCACTTTATTTTTTTGAAAATTTAAAAAATAAAATAAAATAAAAAAAAAAGAGAAGAAAATCAAAATAAAAAGCTTTTTTTTTTCGCTTAAGTTTAAATTATTCCTTCAAAGTTTTTTAAAAATTCGCTAAAAAATTTGTCACATAGATTGTTTACATTATGCGTCAGGGGGCATAGCTCAGGGGTAGAGCGCTCCGTTCGCATCGGAGAGGTCTGGGGTTCGATTCCCCATGCCTCCAAACTCTCAATTTTCCATTTCTAAAACATATTGCAAATTAACAACTAACTAATCCATCTATATCAATTGTTTCAGTGATCATTTGCTTAGAGTTTCAAAATTATCGCTGAAACTCTTCTTCTAACTTTTAAAATTTAAAATTTTTTTTTAAATTTTTTCACTTTTTTTTAACAATTTTAAAACTTTTAAATTAAAACTTAAAAAATTAAAATTAAAACTTATCCAATCGATATTTTTGCATCTGTAATATTCGTTCACATTTACTTTTTCATTGTTTGTTAATAATGAAACGAATGCATAGAATGGCGATAAATTGATCATTTGCGAATGGAATTGAATTTTTATCCATTTTTCAGTAGTTTTTATCGGATAATTATAATGTATGATTTTCTAATATACAAAAAAAAAAACATATAGGAACAAATTTTTCAGGTAAAATACGAGGTATAGTTAGTATTTCTCGGGTAGAATACAAGATGTAGTTAATATTTCTCGGGTAGAATGCAAGATATAGTTAATATTTCTCGGGTAGAATACAAGATGTAGTTAATATTTCTCGGGTAGAATGCAAGATATAGTTAATATTTCTCGGGTAGAATGCAAGATGTAGTTAATATTTCTCAGGTAGAATACAAGATGTAGCTAATATTTCTCGGGTAGAATGCAAGATGTAGCTAATATTTCTCGGGTAAAAGTACGGACGGGACGCGAATGATTGCATGGTGACCAAATCCTTACCACCCACGCTTTGATGATAAGATTTGCTGTGGTCTGCGACGTGGCAGTGACATTTTAAGTTTGATCATTTTGATGAGTTACTAAATTGATGAATCAGTTGCGAATGTTTTCAGGAATGGATTCCGGTGGAATTGTAGATGAACTGATCGATCCGGACGCTCTGGCCGTACGTTGATTGCCTTATTTTTTTTTTTTATCGAATTCAGAATTCAAATATTATTCCCTCATGGAATGAGCATACCTTTATAATATATATTATTTTTTCAATGTCACATCTGATAATAACAATCAGATATTTATTTATATTTCATTAACTTTATTAAGCATCATTTCCTCTAGTAATGATCACACATCTACATTGTTACATTCAGAATCTTACTAAATCACAATTTGCGTCATTTTAATCTAAAAATTTTTTTATTCCAATAACACCGTAATTGCCATAGTTGTAATTAATATTTTATTCTACTTTAATAATGACAAATTATTTTGTGCTTAATTATTAAAGCAAATATTTTGTGCTTGTTGTGATATAGTTGCTTGATCGCAGTCTATTCTATGCATTCATTGCGGACTGCTTGTTGTTCTCCTATTTTCGTTATTAGAGGCTTTGAGGAGATTTGAATAATTGGAAATATAATATTTATGTTAGTAGTGTCGTTTTAGTTAACTTAAACCTATTGAACAAAGGACTACGTTGAGATTTGTTTAAAAGTAATGAAAAACTGAAATTTAAAAAAAAATAGATATATTCATTGATTGTAGTTTATTTTTGTTTCAGAGCTTGGAAAGAACATATAATGAGCAAGTTGCTCGTGGTAATCCAAGTGCTGTTGCAATCTATTCTTATGCTCATGGCTTGATCAAATCTAACAATCGTAATGTACGTAAGGGAATCAAATTGTTGGAAGGTTATTGAATTATTGGTTTTGCTTTTGTTGTTTTTTCTTTTGTTTTATTATCCGTTTTGTGTGGAAAAACTAACTGAGCTAAATATCATATCTAAATGCATTAGCGGTAGTAGGTTAAGATACATTTTTGTAGAAATGTATTGATCTACATTTTAAAGAACTGTTTTCGAGTGTAAGTATATTTGGAAATTTATTAAAGTAGATATATTTTAGTGGCAACAAAAACTATTGCCATGATATTTTGAGTCTTACATATGTATTCCAATCAACGACAATTAATTGCATATTTATTTGCAGCGATTTTTTTATCTGCCCAAAATAATATTTTTCTTACCAAATTTTTATACGTTTTAGATTTATTACGGAAAGAAGTTGAGGATATATCGAAGCGTGATTATGTATATTATCTTGCAATAGCGCATACTCGCTTAAAGGTAAAGCTTTCTGCTATATGGACTTCTTTAAAATGGGAATTTCATTGTGAAAAGTTTGAAATTGCAGGAGTACGACCGAGCTCTTGCATATGTTGATATATTACTCAGTGCAGAATCGAATAATCGTCAAGCATTGGATTTGAAGGATCTAATTCAGCATAGAATGAAAAAAGGTATGCAAACATTAGCTTTTTTTTGGAATCTGAGTTTATTGATTTTGGAATACCGCTTGATAAAGTTTATTGATTTTGGAATACCGCTTGATAAAGTTTATTGACTTTGGAATACCGCTTGATAAAGTTTATTGATTTTGGAATACCGCTTGACCTACTTTAATCTAAATCTAAAGTTCATTTAGATGGGATCATTGGCATGGCAATATTGGGTGGAGGAATTGCTGTAATTGGTGGTTTAGCTATTGCTGCATTTGCTGCCTCGAAAAGGTGATTTATGTGCTTAAGACTACTTTTTTTTTCCAAAAAAGTACGAATATGGTGAGAGAGAATTGGAGATCGAAGAATGGAGTTACTTTGTTCAGATGTTTCATCCAGAAGTTAAATTTCAAAGTTTAAGCGGTTTTCAGAAGTTCTCATTCGTAAACGGTGGTGTATTATGAGTAATCACTTGGATTATTTATCGATCGCATTATTTTCTTTCCAATTATTTATAAAATTTTTTGTTCATAATTTTATCAAGTAAGAGGTATCTATTCTGGAATATCTTTGAATTTGTATGCTTAAAGTTGAATAAGATTCTTCTCCTAGAAGTAAATTTTTAGGCTAAAAAATAAAATTAAGCAGTATTTTGTTGCATATTTTTGTACTTTTACGTTATAAAGCTAAAACTGGTCGATAGCCAAGTTCCTTTTCCTTATATTAGAACAGGTGTATGTCTAACAGTTTCCTATACTTTGTTGTTTACCATTCAGTAATTTCTTTATCCATTCATTCACATGTTTTAACTTAACACATTTATCTGAATTGTCGAATATTTCCAAAATTCGTAAATGCGGGAAAGATGGGTAATTGTAATAAAACTGACTTTAATGAAGTTTCAGCTTATTTAAATAAAATGTAATGTAAATAATAATGTGTTAACAGACTATTTAGTGTATTTACTTACAGCAAACTTAATATTCAGGCATTTACAGTCGTTAAATGCTGTGGTTTTTATTTATTTATTTTTTTCTTTTGCTTATTTATGTTTGTTACAATGAATAGCATACTTTCTGTAACTAATTCTCTCAAGTAATACAGCTTACAGATAAATGAATACTTTGATATGTCATCTGTCATTCGTTACAATTGGAATATAAAATGACCGAATGATTTCTGGTGCACTGATCAGATGAAATTTTGTGAGATTCGTGGAAGTAAAGTATTTCATAAGCAAAAATGAAATACTAAACAAACAGTAGTGGTTCGATGAAATTTAGTTAGTAGGGAGATAAGCTGTTAATCAAGTATAAAGCATTAGGAAGCACTTAATGGTATACTGTATCAGATAATGAACAATTAAAAATTTTTATAATTATTTATGCAAATAATTATCTATGATTAATTTGCTAATTAATCAAACATAGGGAAAATGACTGCTGAAAAAGCACAGCAGCTTTAAGAAACTTAAGAAATTTCAGATTGCATCCATTAAATGAACTTAGTACAATTTTAAACTTTTGAATAATTATTATCTAAGACTAAGACAGTGATAGCAATGAAAAATGGTTACTAAGTAATGATGGAAGTATATATAAGGTATGATGGAATGCTAAAGTGTGATACGGAGAAAGGTTTAATTTGAATTTCAGGTATATAATAGCTATCTTCAATCAAAAATGCTTTCCGGATATGCATCTCGAATTCATAAACGTTATGGAAAGAAAAGGTTCGATTTGCATTATTATAATCAAATCTTTCCTCATCACTTATTTTACTCAAAAAAATTTACAAATTTTTTTAGTTGTCAAATGTATTAGTTTACTGTTTTTAGAAGGAAGAGAAATAAGAATGACAAATCTTAAGAAATGAATTGTGTCCTTCTTTTTTTTTTTTTTTTTTATTTTTTTCATAAATTCTTTTTGTATAATAAATGTTAATGCATTTTTTTTCATAATGCTTAGAAGGTTTTTTATAATGTTTGGATGATGATTCTTTTTTTTTTTTTTTTTTCTTTATTGTTCTGATTAGATCGGTTAATTGCTAATGTGCTAATAAGGGAAGAAGTTATTAAAACCGTTTTATTTTTCAAATTTTATTTTAAATTATTAATTGATTCTTAGTTTATTTTCACAAATATGCTAAATTTCAATATTCAGTAGTAGATCATTGATGTTTTCCATAGTTATTATTGCTACTTCTGTCCATTTTCATCCTGAAGAGTGAAATTGGGATTCGAGAATGTGATTGGTGATGTTGAATTGATCGGTGATATACATGTCACAGCTGGTGCTACTGTTGCTACTACTACTGCTGCTGCTGCTGCTGTCGTTGTTGCTGGTACGTTATTTGGATTAGTTGGTGAAGTTATAGTAATACCAGCACTGGGACCATTATTCTACAAATAAAATAATTTTAACTTTAAAATCAAAAAAAATTTTTTTTTTTACCTAACAAAGACTTTCTCTACTCTTACTTTTATTATCTTTTATATTCCAAGTTTTTTTTTTTTATTTTTTATTTCAGGTTGGTGTTTTTTTTACTTATTTCAGGTGACTTTCTCTACTCTTACTTTTATTATCTTTTATATTCTAAGTTTAAAACTTTACTTATTTCAGGTTGGTGTTTGTTGCACTAACTTGGTACAAGTAGCAATTGCAAGTCATGATGTTTTTGACATAACCTATAGAAATCAATCAAACAAGTTTGTTTTGCAGTTTATTAATTGAGATAAAATATTCTACTACATTCCAAAGTACTTTTTTTTTTTTTTTTTTTTTTGCAAGCAAATCTATTTTATCAATGAATTTAACTTTTAAACTATATAGTGAAAACTTTTGATATGTTATCTTTTTTTCATTTATAATTTACCTGGATAGAAATTTACCTGGATAGAAACTATAGGAAAATTTAATTCAGCTTTCTTTCGATCACTAAAATACACATAGCAAGCGAATAATACACGAATCACCCATATCAACATTAATGTAAAAGTAAGTGGAGATATAGCATAAATGAAAGCATTTAGTTGAATAGCTAAAAAAAAAAAAAAAAAAAAAATAATGCAAAATAATAAAAATTATTGGCGTGGGAAGAAAAAAAAAAAATTTTTTTTTTTTTAAATATTTTTGAAATATTTTTTTTTTTTTCTTATTTATGATATTATTTAAGTGTTATATATCAAATTTTTTGATATTTGATACTTTTTTATCATCGAAAATTCATCGATTATTTTGCTTAAGTATCAAATGTTTAATATTTGTTTCAATGTGGAATTTATTTTTTTTTTTTTCTTCTTTTATTTATTTGAATGAATGGAGAGGATTTATTAGCTTTGATAAAAAAATTTTTCACAGTGTTTTTCATAAAATTTTTTCATACTTTATATCATAACATTTTATAATTTTAGTATAGTCAATTTAAACTACGACAATTCCGCTTGCATCATAAAATGGAAAAAAATTGTCGACAAAATTGAATTATAATTTTCAGAAATAAAATTCTATTAAATTCATTGAATTAAGGAATTTATTTTTTGATTATTCCTTGTGACAAATGTACCAATGTCACAATGTCATCAAATAAAACTTCGTTGCTAACTGTAAATTATATTGAAATTTGATAAGGTCAACAGCAATTTCGTTAGTTGACCTCTGCTACTGTGCTATATTTTGTGTATTTTATGAAAAATTTAAAAAATTTTTTTTAAATTTTTCATAAAATTTTTCATAGTTGCTACGAGCGTTAAAGCTTATCATACTCTAATTACATTATTCATCCTTGATTATTTGTCATACTTAACTGTTTAACTTTATTCTTTGCAGCTAATTAAAATTTATTTTTTGACTACAGTTACTTCAAGTAATTAAATTCTGCCTTTATTGAATGGAAGATGGAATGGAAGTCTTCGATTTTAGATTAGTAGTTTAGAAGTAATAGTTTGAAATAGTGTTAAAGTTTTTAAATTCATCTAAATGAAAATATTTTAATAATTATAAACAAATTACTGTTCTACTACTGGTATATCTAAAATCATGAATCTTACAGGATGTTTTTGTCGATGGATAAGTATGAAAGCTGGGTGCCCAAGAATTTTTTGGCCATATTATAGTCAAAATGCTTACGCAAAATAAAATCATCGAAGCAACCAGAGTAAATAGCTGAAAATGGAATATATTTATCTAAATTTGAAAGTATTTTGCGAATATATGGAAGTTTTAAATGTATGCTTTACAATAAGTAAATGCTATAAGTTGCAAAAGAAAGAATATTAAATTATTATTAAAATTGCTGAAAATGATTTCTTCTTATTTTTATCATAAAAATTTGATCAAATATGATTAAGAAATTAAAATTAGAATGTAAACAAACCTGAAGGAAAAGATATGGTAATAAGAAAAACGCTGATTTGAAACAATAAGCAATAATTAAAGAAATTCCAAATAAGGCATTGCAAATTTCTGCGAAAATTTCTATCCATCCTTTAATGATTATCATTTAAATTTGAAATGATTATTTTAGGTCGTCAAAAATTAGATCAAAAAAAAATATATATATATATATATCGAAAACAGTAGGAATGAAAATATTAATAAAACTTTTTTTTTTTTTTAAATAAAGCAATTTATATATTGATAAATAATAAAATTAGAAACTAAGGAAATATGATAATTTATAGTTTTAAAAATTTTTTTTATATAATAATTTTTTTTGTTGTTAACAATAAATTATTGTAATTTATTTAGCAACAACAACAATAATTATTGTGCGAAAACAAGAGAGAAAAAAAAAAAAAAAAGGAAGTAAAAAAAAAATAACCGAAAGTAATTGTTTGATTAACAATGAAATCGATCCATCGAAATATATCCCAGGCAAATGTTACAATTATAATAAGTTGTAAAGCAGTCTGTAATAAATAATTATTTATTTTAAAAAAAAATTTTGACATTTGACATATGGTTGAATTTATTTGAAATGTAATTAAATTGCATACCTGAACATGTACTCTTCCAAAACAGGTGTAATATTGTGGTGTTGTATGATTTCGTGGTGGTAAATTTAATTTTAAACAATTGAGTAGCAGCATATTGTTTATCAGCAGAATTATTTAGTGTTTTAAAAGTTGAAAAAAAAAAAAAAAAATTTATCTCTAATTATGCTGATTTTTATGTTTGAAAAAAAATGGAATGCTTCGATATTATTAGCATTTTAATATCTGAAAAATTTGAAAATTTTTACCATTTATAAATATCCATATGATCAATTCATATATTTTTGCTAGGGATATTTTAAATATTTAAAATTTTTTAATTATTGGTGAAACTTAAAAATTGATTAATAGTTAGGAAGATGCAGAATAATGAAAGAAAATAATAGAAAGTTTTATATTCAATTAATTTAAGCCAATAATTTTCAAAAAATAAATTTAAAAGTCTATCTGCTTTCCCTTTATCAATTTTTTATTTTTTTTTTTTTTTTTTGATTTATTATGTTAAGATTTATTATGATTTATTATGATTTTTTTTGATTTATTATGTTAAGATTTATTATGATTTATTATGATTATGATTATTATGATTATGTTATGATAAAATAATATATAAATATAAATTTCTCCTTATATACTTAATTTTTTAAATAAATACTAGAATTTAACTCTTTCTAAATTCAAATTTATATTTTCATTTTGCAAAAAAAAAATTTATAAAAAATATATAAATATCAACTTCATCTTCATATACTTTAATTTATTGAATATTACTAAAGTTTAACTCGACTAATTTCAAATTTATACTTTCATTTTTAAACAATTTAATCTAAATTTTAAATAAATTTAATTTTTTTCAAATGAAAATGAAATATATTTATTATATATTAGTATAATTAATATTATTTTGCATATTATTTCTATTAGTATAATATTGTTATAATATTTATAAAAATTTCCTTTTTGTCTTTTTAAATTTTTATGCTAATCTCTTTAGCTGAATGTGATGATAAATACTTTTGTTTATTAATAATAAATGAAAAGTAAACGAAGCAAAAAAGGATGGAAAAATAAATTATTCCCTTTTTTTTTTCTCTCTCTCTCTCTCTCTCTCTCTCTCTCTCTCTCTCTCTCTTTTCTTTAAATAAATAAATTTATTTTTTATCAAAAAAAAAAGAGATTAGCATACAAAATTTATGTTTTATAGAACAACGTCAAATTATTTCTTTAATTAAATTTAACATTTTCTTTTATACTTTTATTTTTTTTTTTTCTTTTGTTAATAACATTTATACTTAGTACTTTACATTTCTTATTTGTTCAACAAAAATGTTATGATCATTTCTTATTTGTTCAACAAAAATGTTATGATCATTTCTTATTTGTTCAACAAAAATGTTATGATCATTTCTTATTTGTTCAACAAAAATGTTATGATAAAATAATATATAAATATAAATTTTTAAATAAATACTAAAATTTAACTCTTTCTAATTTCAAATTTATATTTTTATTTTGCAAAAAAAAAAAATATATAAAAAAGTATATAAATATCAACTTCACCTTCATATACTTTAATTTATTGAATATTACTAAAGTTTAAAAAAAAAAAAAATAAAAAAATTTTTTTTTTTTTTTTTTTAATAATACTTTAATTTCGTTTAATATTATTTGATGATATATGAAAGATTTATTAAAACAATATTTACTGTATAATTTTCAACTGTTAATAATCTATGTTAAATAAATAAGTAAGTAAAATTACTTTATTATAATTTTTTTTTTTTTTTTAACTAAATTTATTGAAATTATTTTATTAATCAATCATAATTTGATCATTTTACAAAAAGTATTAAAAAAAAAATAATATTTCACAAAGAAAACTATGAGAAATATCTAATAAAAACAATATTTATTAGTAATGCATGCAAAAAGTCTTATTCAATTCTAAATTAAAAAATAAAATTTCAAATTTGATTAATTTAATTTAGGTTTTAATTAGTATTGTTAATAGTAGATATAGTATCACTATATTAGCTTAGTAAGTATGTTATTAATAATTAAATAATCAATAATTAATTATTTAAATTAAATAATTGAACAAATAAAAGTTTAACAAATGAAAAAAAAAAAAAAAAAACGAAACTTTTTAATTTTTAACATTTGAACAATGAAAATTGAAATTTAATTTAATAAAAATGCAATGAAATTTTCTTATTTTTATTATTTGCATTGCCATAATTTTTCAAAAATTTATTTTTCAACATTATTTCATTATATTTTCCACAACTATTTGTACATTTTAATAATTCATAAAGCTAAAATATTTTGTTAGTTTCATTTTACTTCAATTTCAATTTTGTTAATTTCATTTCATTAAAAATTAAAAAATTAAAATGAAAATTAAAATGCTACAAATTT